AGCGCCATTGGTCAAAGCTGTCCAATAAAAAAAAACAGTGAGGACATCAATCTCGATGCCTCACCAGTGACGAGCAAGTAAGGGACAGGGAGGCTCCTCCTTATTTCCTCCCTTCTTTCTCCCCACACAGCTTGGTTACCGAGCTGGGGCAGGGCTTTGGCTGGACAGGGGCGGAGCTTTGGCTGGCTGGGGGATACCTCACCCAGCACAGAAGGCCGACACGTCACTTGCTTGATGTGCACGGCGCCATCCATGGCTACGAGCACCACTATTGCTAAGGGTCCCTTCCTCAGGGCAACATAGTGTAAATAGTGCACTGACCAATAACACGCATACATATATAAATATACTGTACCTGTATATACCCCAAAACATCTATAAATAACAAAATAGGTTTTGTTTGTCATTGCACTATTGTCACTCTGTTGCCCTGAGGAAGGGACCTTGCATGGCCCCGAAACTTTGGCTGATTGATACATGTGACAATAAATACACACTAAGATTTACTTCATTCTGCGAGTGCTGGTGAACTTCACTTTCTGCAGTACTGAAATATTGTCAGGTCTTTCCTCTCCCTGTAACATTGATTGGAAAACAACCATGTTCATTGCAAAATATAAAGAATGTATTTATGTTCACTTCCATTTCTAAATGCAGCATGGGCACTGGACCTTAAAGTGATTCTATGTGTTAGCACACAAGGAACGACTAAACAACTGCATTTAGAAGAGTAGATTAGAAACAACTCTGACTTTGCTATAGCTACTGACAGTTGAGTTGTTTATTTCTAACTGTAACCTATTAACATTATTTTCAGTTTCCGAGGCTGAAAGAGCTGCTGATTTGCCAACGAGTTCACCAGAAGCATAACTACCAATCATGGGGCCCCACAGCAAAATTTGAAAAGCCTCTCTGTAGGATTTTGCAGTATGTTATTGACCTTAACGTGATGTACGCCTAAGTCAAGGAAAGGCAGTAGGAGCGCTGTCAGCATAATCAGACTACTAGGGGCGAGTGTTGTGGATAAAAGTTACATTTGCAGTCACAATAATATTAAACCATAATGATCTTTTATATTATGATAAATGTATTAACGTTCTTGTAGAAAATTACTCTATAACCCTAATACAAACTTTTTTAAACTCTAGTTTCTTTAAACTTTTTTTAATAGAACTACATACCTCAGTTGTCTTTAAAATGAACCTTCACTCCAAACGTTGACTTTTTTCCACTGCAATCTTATTTATTTTGTTTACATTTTTAAAAAAAATTTTCTCTAACCCGTCCCCTGCCTTCATTTTTCCCTAGGTGAGAATGATGTGTTCCTGCTCATGTAGCCCCGTGTTATATCTCCGTCACATATCCCAGAAGGCTGCAGGAGCAGAAATATACAATGGCTGGGGCGGGCTGGCTGCAAGGTCTAGAAAGTGACAGCTGGCTCCTGATTATATCAGAGAGGAAGGTAGCACCTTGGGGTCCGGTATGTGGCAGTGGAGCAGCGGATCACAGCAGGACAAAACTGGATTCGCTGGGCAGCTGACTATGTTTTTTGAAGATGTCCCTGCAAAACAAGTAAGATGGCAAAGAGAAAAATCTCAGTGGTGGCAAAGTTCCTCTATAAGGTTTAGCAAAGTAGAAACTCTTGGATTTTGACTGCATTAGGCATAGAGCATTCATTTCAGTCTGCAGCAGGAGTTCGGAGGATAATAAATCTACACTGATGAGAAAGAAAAGCAAATGATTTCTACTGCAACGCGGTTGGGGGTGGATCTGTAATTAGCATGATCTTGAGGTCTAACTAGCACTTCTATACTGCAGAAATCCACAGTTTAGTTTTCCTTAACAACCTTCATATTGGGACCCCTTCCTATCCCAGGAACAAACATAGAGTTGCCTTGCCGCAATCGCCACCGCAATCCAACGAGGGAGGGTGCTTGAAATGACTGTGGATGGCGCTGCCAGACAATATTGGTGAATAGATGTGACCAGCACACCAAGAGTATTGTAATCCAAAGTGCTCGTTTATTTAAAATGTCATCAGAACTAGCGCTTTTTGGGACAGGTCCCCTCTGTCAAGTTCAGCAATGACGACAATAAAGGGGACCCTGTGAAGGTCCTGAAAGCGCTTGTTCTGATGACATGACGTTTTAAATAAAAAAGCACTTTGGATTACAATACTCTTGGTGTGCTGGTGACATCTATTTACACCCTTCCTATCCCAGGCCTCATAGCAGCTGTGTTGGATTTTGCCTACTAAACCAGGTGATCTGCATTTTTTTTTTTACAGTACCTTTCCAGCATTAAAGCAGATCTAAAGTTACAAAAAGCTTTAGGTTTAAAGTCCATTGTCATTTGTAAGGAGCATACGGAGCTCCTGGGATTTGTGCATCCCTGTTTTAATGTATGCTTTTTTTTTTCTTATAAATATATATAAGGGATTCACCCATACCATTTTTCCAAGTACAAGTACTGATACTTGTCCAAGTACTCACAGATACAATTGCTGATACATTTTGTGTGTCATGTGACAGTTTTTCTAAGACAATACAGGCTAATGATTTCAGGACAGAGGTGGAGCGCCAGAGCCAGGTCTCAGCTGCAACGGCTGTAACCCTGATAGTTCTCGTGAAAATGGCAAGTATCGGCACTGGTATCGGGACATCCCTAATTTCCACCTTTTATAAGTGATTAGCTCTTGTGGTAATGTAGCGGTGCAGTGATGATGTATATGTGTGCACATTTTCATGACTCACATTGCTGGCCTTCTTAATTTAATTTATGAACATTTCGGTAGGCCTACAAATGGAACATTTTCTCCACAGACAATAGGAGCAGATTGTAAAGCAGCTGATCCCCTTCCTGTGAGTCATTGTAGCAAGATCACTGCACACCGGCTCTGCCTTTCCATGTCACAATACACTGTCAAATGTTGCCACTATGAATACTAATGAATGGGGGAGAGAGCTCAGAGAGAGTGTTAATTTACACAGAATGCTCGCAAAGCACAGAGACAGCCGGCAGCCATTTCAAAATGAGCCATGAGGAGATGAAAAGGACAAAAAAAGTATGTTTCTGTGTTCATATACAGCAACTGCATATGCTTTTTTTCATGTACGCTTCATGTTCTTTGCTGGCTTATGTTTTTTTTTAAAATAGCTCCACAAATGGGCTTTAAGCCAGTCGGGCCAGCTTCTGTCTTTACTTCTACTAGCTCTGTATAAGGCATAGGCACTGATTTGGCAGCCTCGCTGTGTATAGAATGCACAAGTGTTGTCATGGTTGGCAATGGTGCAAGAAAGCCACATTGGAGAATTTAGGTATATTAAACAGATCATAGCCATACCTGCCAAAGTGCCATCCCTGCATAAGTGTGGGGCACTTTTAATATAGGCATCATATAATTATCTTACAATTTCTCCTCTCTACTCCTCATAGGTCACCACAGCCTTCATACATGCTTCTATCATCTAGTTGCTGTGCAGTATGCAAAACAGGATCCACCAATATTTTGCTATTTTCCTATTGTAACCAATGTTAAACCTGTCTATATTATGATAGATTGACCTTCCTGGTTTCTTCCATGAGAGTTGCTATCTCTTTTCTTGCCTTGTCTTAGTGTTTTAACATGGCACTTTAACTATGGCACAGCAAAGAAAACAGTTACAAACAGTGGTTTCTTCCCTCCACCCTACAAGCTATACATTTCACCCGCACTCTTGCCTTCTCCCTATTATTGCACTCATCACCTCCTGCTGTTTCTGAACACACATGAAGACAAAACCTCAAGAACAATGGGGCACATGCCCTCATATAAATATTGCTCCCTTTACCACCGTCGCCCGGGTACTTCTCCGAAGCTCTGGAAATATATATTTCCAAACCCTGGCCCTCCACCATCTAACTATCCTCCTCCCGTGTGCCCTCCCTGACTTCTCCATTGAGATTAATAACACAATTATCAGTCCCTTCACCAGTGGCATCACATGAGGGGTGCAGGGGGTGTGGTCCGCACTGGGTGACACCATCAGAGGAGGTGACACCACAATGACTGACACCTGCATGAGAGAGGATGGGAACTAGCCGCATACCTTATCCCGCAAGATGAACATCACCTCTTCTCTTTGCCAAGTTGGCCGCCGGCAGGTAAGGGTCCACATCCAATCACTAACCAAATCTTGCCACCTTAACCTTCATGACATTTCCAAAACTCACCCCTTCTTAAATGACACCCCAAAGCTACTAACTCACTCTCATTATCTGTTGCCTCAACTATTCCAACTCCCCTCTCACTGGCCCACCTTTACACAGACTTTCCCCCATTAAGTCTACCATGTATACTTCTAGACTTATCACCTTACCAACCGTTCAGTGGCTGCCGCCCCTCTCTGGCAATCCCTCCCATGGCTTCAAATAGACCATTTAAAATTCTCACTTGTGATATACCCTGATCAAGCCACTTTATGTACGTGCATTGTTACTCTTTGGATTTATTAATAGAGGTGTTATTTACACAATCCGGTGCACTCTGTTTTGTGCTTCTACTTTTCAAATATTGTAGCTAATTGGAACCACCAGGCTCTCTGTCCCTGTACATTTTCACTGCCCCTGTACATTTTCCAAGTGTTTCCTATTCCTTATTCTACCTGAATAATATCAAATCAGCTTGCAGCACCTCCTGCAGACAATGACATGCCTGTGGAAGTTGATGATCACTGACAATGGTGTTGAAGCCACCAGTGAGATATGACATCGCCTGCACCACACCCTATCTACCAGCAGATGGCGCTGCACCACCGGGAAAAACAATGCTATCGCAGATTGAACTCTGAACCGTTCTCCCAAAGTTCCCATTCATAAGTAACATAATAACCAAACACGGTGAGCGTATCAAAGGGCAAGAGTAAACATTACATAAGACCTGATCACTTTATCATCACACCATTTATTAGATGCTAAAGACTGGTGAACGAGAGCAGCATTTGTATTACTTATAGAAAGTACAGCCATGTCCACTGTCCGCAGTGTCAAAGGTATGCCGTTTTCTTCCTATATTTCCCTCATGGTGTACTTGTACTGAATACACTTGTTTTTTATAGCAGTTGATACGGTACGAATTGTGTCAGAGAAAATAATCCCACTCGCATGACTGTTGCGTATTAGTGATACCTTTATGTTTTTTTTACAATTGCATCTAGAAGGATGACCACTAGATGGCGACATGGCCGGTTTTTCCAGCATAGTCCATGGGATATAGCGACAGGCATACGAGCTGCAAGGTGACACAGCTTGTCTTTGGGCTTGCTGAATGCTGGCGAGGCTCGGAAGTAGATTGATAGTGTCTAGTCGTAGTGGTTTCATTGGACAGCAGGTACAACGTTTATAGCTCTCTATGTCCCGGTTTTATTATGATCATCACATACATTCGTGGTGTCTGTGGAGGAGTCATGTGACTGTCCGTGCACAGCTGGGTGCCTATTAGTGGCAGGACGGATAGTGCACACGTGGCTGGCATGATGCCAATGATCCTGAATCCTTGTATTTTGTGTAATGTGTGGGTTTCATCAGCCTAGTAAATTGCATGTGTGCCATCCTCCCTGTGCCTGATCCTTTTTCTGACCATCCACCATGTGCATTAAAGCCCACCAGCGTGGTAACTTGTGCTGAGGCTAGTTGCAACAATACTAGAAGGGGTTTTGTCACTTTTGTTAGGCCTGGTTCACACCTGTACGTTTTGTAGCGCGTTCAACGCTCTACAAAACGCTTAACCATGAAAATCCCATTGTTTTCTATGGGTATGGTTCACACCTTGCCGTATTTCAGCCCGTCTGAACGCGCTACAAAACGGCCTACACCTGAAAAGGTACATGAGCTTCTTTGGGGCGTTTTTGTCACGCGTTTCCATTGGAATACAGCCAAGTAGCCCTCGGAAATGCGTGTTTGTTGCGCGTTTTTTTTACCGCGAATCGTGGTAAAAACGTGCAACAAACACGCATATTCGATACGCCTAGGTGTGAACAGAGCCTTATATCATGGGTATGCTGCCATGGATTGGCACCAGGAAAAGAAAGTAACAGGTAGGTAGGACCAGGGGCTGACTGGCAACTTTTAGCACAGGAGGCAAGTACAACCCAGAGGCCCATGGTGCAGCAACTTGGCCCCCCTCCCGCTCTGCCTCTTCCCCCGCCCCTGTGTGCCACTTTTGCCATCCATGTAACAGTAGTTAATCAGGATAAAAACAAATGGCTCCAGGGATGGACTACTCGTTTATATTGAGATTGAAGTCCATCACAGGAGCAAGCTTGGAGTGGTGGAAATAAGAAAAAAAAAGTGTGTGCAATATAGCGAAATGGAAAGTGTAAAATTATACAGCAATCAATGCAAAATGGCACTATCTATAGAAGACTACAAATCCCAGCAATAGTACATTATAGCTGGTGGTATTCTGCATTGCGCTGTATAATGTATTATTGCTGGGATTTGTAGTCCCCTATACAGCGCAATGCAGAATAACACCTGCTATATAGGAATACAACCAATCCCAGCAATACATTATACATACAGTGTATAATGTATTTCTGGGATTTGTATTCCTCTATAGCGGATGGTATAATATACTATACAATGTACCACCAGCTATAGAGGAATACAAATCCCACTATCCCAGCAATACATTATAGAGCACCATGTGTGGGAAAGTGCATGCTTACCTGAGCAGTCTTCCAGCAACTTGCTTCTGAGATCGGGCCTGTCTGTCGGCGGCTGTCAACCCCTCACGCCTGCTCCTCCTTACTTCTCCCCGCGTCGCTGTGACGATCGTGGATGTGGGCGGTGCGCGTGAGGCGGCATGTGGAGTGTGGATGCGGGTCTGGCAGCAGCAAGGGGGGGGAGTGTAGCTTCTTCCTTCTGAGAAAGAGTCAAGCGAAAGGTTTACTCAGAGTAAACCTTTCAGGGAGAAAATGCCTCTCTCGCTGATGTCAGGGAGCCGCTGTCTAATTGAGGGAGACTCCCTGAACATCAGGGAGACTTGAGATCCCTGGTATCGGCCGACGGTGACAGACGAGGAGGTGGCCAGACCCTAGCGGCGGCGTGTCCCAGCACTGCCGATCCAGCGACATTGAAGCAGGCTGGGCTCTATCGGCGCCACTGCTCTACATCACATCACTTCCGGCCAGTCCGGCGGCAGAGGAGACCAGGGGAGCAGGTAAGAGGAGCTGGAAGGGATGTAGAGAGATGCAGCCCTGACCAGCCCACCTGAGACCCCTGCAGAGCCCACCATAGAGAGTATAAGATGGGCTGTGCAACATCTATGGTGGGCTCTGCAGGGTCACTCTCAGGTATGTGTGGGGCATCAGGTGGGTCCTATGTCCAGCGCGTCGCTAAGCCCTGCATCCAGCGGGTCGCTAAGCCCTGAGTCCAGTGGGTCACAAAGCCCCGCGTCCAGCAGATCAGTAAGCCCCGCGTCCATCGGGTCACTAATCCCAGAGTCCATCGGGTCACTAATCCCAGAGTCCATCAGGTCACTAATCCCAGAGTCCATCGGGTCACTAATCCCTGAGGGCTTGTTCACACCAAATGCAGACCAGATCTGCATGAGTTTCTGCACACGCAGTGCAGTGGGTTGTGACGCGTTTTTAATGCGTTCCGGGCCGTTTATGGTTAAATGCATTCCAGGGCGTTTGCATGCGTTCCAGAGCAGGTAAAATAGGACTTGCTGCAGTTTTTTACCTGCTCTGGAACTGAACGCTGTGGTGTGAACTACAGCCCAAAATACCATTGGAATACATTGGACGCAGTTTTGATCCGTTCTGTAACTGCTCTGCTCCCGGAACGCGCTTCGTGTGAACAAGGCCTGAGTCAAATTCATACACTGTTCTGCATTGTATAAATGTATTGCTGGGATTTGTAGTCTGGTGCCATTGTGCATTAGAGTGTAAGCTCCTCTGTGCAGAGACTTATGTGACTGGCTCAGTGTTCTCTGTACAGCACTGCGGTATAGGCCAGCGCTATATAAATGAATAATAATAATAGTATGTGACTGTGGGGGGACATTAGAGTGTAAGCTCCTCTGTACAGAGACTGATGGGACTGGGGCTGCAACAACTAATCGACTAAGTCGATTAAAATCAATGATGGAAAACGTTGTCAACGTTTTCCATTATCGATTAGTCGGCTTTAGATTATTTGCCCCTGTTTGCGGCTCCACAAGCGCCACACGCCGCACCTCCTCCCTGCCTCACCCAGCTCTGAGCTCTCTCCCGCCGCTGCCCGCTAAGACACTGCCCCCCCAAGATGATCACGTCGTTGCAAGGAGACTGCAGCGTGGGGGAACGGCAGCTGCCAACAGTCCCAAGATCTTAGAGGAAGAAAGTAAACTTGTTTGAAGTCTGTATAATGATTATATAGCAATGCAGAATAGCACCAACTATGTAGGACTACAAGTCCCAGCAATGCATTATATTTTAGGGATACACCAGTGCCAATACTGGGCATTTTCATGAGTACTTATACTCGTGAAAATGCCCCGATACTAAACGCAGATACCGGTGTTCTGTCGAGAACTCCGATGTAGTAGAATTTGCCGACCTCAGCATCTGCGCTTGCGCACAGACCAATATTATCGAGGAAACCGGGATTTATTCACAAAGTATTTTGTTTAAATTGGTAATTGTGACCGTTAATTATATTCCATCCATCATTTACTGCCATCCATCATTCACTGCCATGGATGGGATATAATATTAACAGTCACAATTAACAATAACAAACGAATACTTTGTAAATAAATGGCGGTTTCCTCGGTAATCCCGTCTGTACGTAAACGCAGATACTGGGTCGGTGTTTTCGACAGAACACCGCATTAAAATTTTAAACAAGCGACTGCCCGAGGTCCCACGCTTGCTGGGGACCTCGGCAGCCTTCCTGTTAACCATGCGGTGCCATGGGGGGGGGGAGTGGCCTTCATGGTTTCTTGCACCGGGGCCCTGAAGGTTCTAGTTACGCCTCTGCCCCTACCCCCACATGCGGTATAAATGTATTGCTGGGATAGTGATTGGTTGTATTCCTCTATAGCTGGTGGTATTCTGCATTGTGCTGTGTAATGTACTAATGCTGGGATTTGTAGTCCTCCACAGCCCGTGCCATTCTGCATTGATTGCTGTATAATTTTTCACTATATTGCACACCACAGTTTTTTTGCTTCCAACGCTCCAAGCTTGACTGTTGTGACTGGCTCAGTGTTCTCTGTACAGCACTGTAGTATAATAATAGTGTGTGACTGTGGGGGGACATTAGAGTGTAAGCTTATCTGTACAGAGACTGATGTGTCTGGCTCAGTGTTCTCTGTACAGCACTGTGGTATATGTCAGAGCTATATAAATGTATAATAATAGTGTGTGACTGGCTTGGTGTGTCAGCGGTGCGGGGGAGGGGGGGCCCGTTCTTAAGCCATGTAAGAGGCCCCAAAATTTCTGATGGCTGCCCTGGCTGAATTAATCATGTCTAATGCAGGTTCTATAGACCTGCGCTCAGGGGCGTAACTAGAAATCACAGGGCCACATAGCAACATTTTGTATGGGGCACCATGATTGCTAGTTATGCCACTTGCAGAGCCCACCGGAGAGTGACCCTGCAGAGCCCACCATAGACTCTCTATAGTGGGCTCTGCAGGGTCTGAGATATCTTACCTGTCAGCGCTGTCCGCCTCTGTGGTCGCTGGGGCCCCGACTTCTTTCCGTCCCCGGGTCCCGCCTCCTTTTACATCACTGGCCCCACCTGCTCTTAGGTCACTGGTCAGTGATGTAAGAGGAGGCGGGGTTGCTCTTAGGTGGGCCCCGCCTCCTCCTTCTTTCCGAACACCGCTCTCATCTGCCGCAGAGGCTGGCTTTCACTGACACAACTCCGCAGCGGCTTTGAGGGGAAATGCGCCGCGGCCACTGCTGAGCTGTGTCAGTGACAGCCAGCACCCTTACATGCCATAGCGGCCCTGGCTGGGCCCCCCTGTGCCCGGGCCCCATAGATTGTTACG